TCAGCCCACCCTCAGTGTTCCCCTGGCTGGCAGATGTGTGACACTGCATAGAATGATTAAAGTGTGCTTTTGTAGAAGAAAAGGTCAAAACATAATCCTAGGTCACTGGAGACTTCCTTGCATACTTCCAAATTCATTATTCTCTCCCTCCACGTTCGAAATCAACAGATGGAACCGTCCCTGTGAGGTGTGTCACGCTTCCCTCAGTAATAGAGCTTTAATTCTCCAACATCAGAAAAGCAAGGAGGCACATCACTGTCTCAGAGAACACAGCTCGCATCCTCTGATCACTGCTTTGAAATGCTGCAGGCAGCCCTTTCATCGCAGATAGTCTTTTTCATAATCTCCTGTTGCTTTGCTTTGTACATGTCCTGCCGTATGCTCTGTTGTGTTAACTGCAGGATTCATACAGACAGATGAAAAGAATATCCTTTTATTCACACTGATACATGCTGTTAACACTCTCATCAAACTTGTGCCAAACACACCGGGTGCAAAAAGTGCTTGGATGCACGACACCCTGTTTCCAATCCAAAAAAAAAATCCCCAAGAACATGTCAGAAAATCAACATTTGCATGTCACTGTTTTAATATCTGTGCTGTTGCTGAAATAATCCAATTCTTCCCCGAGCAAAATAACATTTCGCCTCATAAAAATAGCTCGCACACACCTTGGGGCTCAACATCTTTGGCGATAATGAGGCGATTTCTCCCACACCTTGTCTTATCCCCCTCCCACTTCCTAGAAACACCAGTAGTTGTTACGTAACTCCCCTGAGAGGTCAGAGCTGGGCTGTACAGATGGTCACACAAGCCATTTTCCTGTCGAGTTACTGTATCCAGAACATCCTGTCAGCCTGACTGGCTGTTAGTTACTGTGACATACACACCCTCAAAGATATACTTATACCTATAACTTGGTGTACACCTCACTTACACCAGCGTGCAACTCATCTGTGGATTTTTTTTTTTAACTTCAATACTGCAGCCTTGGACAGCTGTTTGAGAAATAAAATCTGTTGTTCCAATCTGCCCACTCTTTCCTTTCATGATGACACACACGGCACATCTGTCCTTTGGCAGTGCTGTCAATTACAGTAGGTCTGATGATGTGTATTTCCTGTAGGTGACCTTGCTGGTGATCTGTGCCCTGGCCTTCCTTGTGTGTGTGGTGTTTCTGGTCGTCTACAAGGTCTACCAGTACGAGCAGCCTTGCCCCGACAGCTTCGTGTACACGGTAAACACTTGTTTATGATCCTGCCTGACTGAAGTATCATTTCATTGTTACCTGGGTTAACCAATGTTCCTTGATTTGTAAAGCCTTTTTAGCAGAGAGTGATGGCCTTCATAAATTGGGTTTATTATACAGTAAGTATGCCAGATAGACAGCCAGGCTGTCATAATGGATGTCACAATGAAGCTAAGCATTTGCAGACTTATCTTTCCCTGAATTACTGAGATTCTCTTTTCACTGTTAAAGACATTTATGACATTCTGACATTCATTTGATAGTGTTAGAACAATTTTGTGGTTTTCTGTTTGTAGGTATGATCTGCAGGAGAATCTCTTTCCATGTGAAGCATTTTGATATGGATGTCATTAGTGAAGTTATTTCAAATGATTCTGGATGAATGATTCTGTCTTTTAAAGGAGCTCAAAGGTCCAGTGTGCAGAATTCAGGGGCATCTGTTGGCAGAGATGGTATATAACATCCATAGCTATGTTTTTATTAGATTATAATCACCTGAAACTAAGAATAGTTGTGTTTTTGTTACCTTAGAATGAGCCGTTTATCCACGAGTTTATAACACTGGCTATAGATAGGGCCATTGGCATTGTCTCGTCGTCGCATCGGTCACTGTAGTTGTCCTACATGCTTGTTGTATGGGAAAAGTGCCAGTTCTGCAACCTTACCACTAGATGTCACTAAATCCTACACACTGGACCTTTAAAACAAGACAAGTAACTTTCAAGATTAGTAATAACACAATACATACATACAATACTTACATATGAAATGAATTTGCTGATACAGCCTTTATCTGGTGTGACTATATGGTGGCTAATGCTAGCTAATGTAAGCTAACTTTAGATAAATACTGATGTGTAATTGACTTTATTGAGCTATCTTTGTGTTTGACTCTTGCGTTACAGTAGCTTAGCATTTTAGCTGAAGGCTAAACACTAGCATACAGCAGTATCCCGCAGCTGTGACTCTTAGCCCCGGTGGTTGTTCAGCAAAAGCTATACAGTCTTGCTGTAAAACCTGTGGGGCAGTGGAGTAAAGATTACTGGGTGTTGACTCATTTCTTGTATAAGCCTAATCAATTTTCAGGCAACAGTATAGAGATGGGAATAATGACTTTAAAGGGAGCGGGATGTTTTTTGTTTTTTTAAGGGGGCAGGGGTTTATCTGTGAAATAATCACTGGGATTATTATAGAGTAAGATGTGGATCAGATTAAAACATCAAACACTATTACAGATGTGCAAGACATTGAAATATTAGGTTATATTGATGGTTAAAAAGTGGGACATGTCGGGAATAACTGTCCGAGTTGTAGGCTAAAACGAAAATGACAATATTTATGAAATAGTGTACACACATACCTGTATTTTAAGATTGTGTAATGCGTTAATATAATTAAACTAAAATATTTCTGCTCTGTTAAAAAATGTTTTGTGTTCATTGTCATGCACTTCTTCTACGGCCATTTCAGTATGCGCTCTGAGAGGGTGGTGAGCGACCAGTGCAATGTACAAAACTCTGCTTGGCTCATATTGAGATGTTTTTGGGTTGTATTTAACAAATACATCATGAGATCATCCTGTTATTCTGTCTTGTATTAGATTAAGAAAAAACAAACCCTCCCAAAAAAAGAGAACAGGCTGATGTGATGAACAATTGGATGGGACTTGGCTCCTGTGGTTCATTTAAAGAGCCGACTTGTTTGCAACCGACTCATCACTACACCAGCGTCAATAACTTAACGCAGATCAACTTGTGTTGAGATGTTTTCCTGGTCTGGTACAAATAATGCAGCTCTGTTTTGTATCAGTCTTCTAACCTTTTTTCCTCCTTTAGTTGTTACTTAGAATTCCATTATACTTTGCTGAATCATAGTTTTGTAACCTTGGGTCTTTTTTTTTCCTTTTCACTCATCTCGTCACAGTTTTATTAATCTTGTTCCCTCTCTCTCTTTTTTTGAGCAGCAAGGTCGCTGCATGCCAGCTGGGATGTATGGCAACTACCCCCCTCAGGGCCCTGGGGGCCGTGGGCGCCTCTTTACCCTCATCAACCACTACAACATAGCCAAGCAGACCATCACCCGGTCAGTATCACCATGGATGACCATTATGTCTGAGGAAAAGGTCACCCAGCAGGAGACGGAGACTGCCCAGAAACTGGCTTAACCAACCTGGGATCAGGAGGTGGCCTCACCTGCTGCGGATATAAATAAATAATACGGTTGTGCCATTCAAGCAAACCTCAGAGTCCCGTGGCTTTCTGTGGGTGAAAAATCATCTTCTCTTGCCTGAGGTGCTCTGCTGCCTTGTTGATGTAGTTTGGTCAGCTGATGTGTACTGTAGCAGGAAATCTGTGGAAATTTTGAACATGTTTTCAGCAAAGCGAGCCTCCCCCATTGGGTGGATTCAAGGTTTGTTTGAATTGCATATGTTGTTATTTATTTACACTTCAAAACAGAGTGGCAAACGTGTAGAAGAAGCCACAGGAATACAAACACAGACACACACTCACTGTCTTTGTACATACACATATGTAACAGAACTCACTTTAGTACTCACATTGTGAAACGACTGTGAACCATCTCGTGTCTGCGTCACTCGTTTTAACGCACACGCACGCACGACTCTAAAAACAAACAGTTTGATTTGAACCTCTTTCTAAAATACATCAAGTACTGATAGCGCATGTCGGACCTTGTGAGGTCCAGCAAGTGGTAAATCTCTCATGAAGCGACATTTGCAGCATATTTGCCACTGAGGTCATCTGTGTCAAAATATTTTACTGTCATGATATTGTGAATAAATGAGGCTTGACCTGGAGGAAACCTTTTAACCAGCGAAAAAATATAACTATTTTAATCGTGTTGTTTTGACGCAGCCCATACTGCTCTCTGCATTTAGTGCTGTTAAGGAGTTTTTAGTATTTGATGCATCAAGTCTTTTTAACCAGCATTAATGATTGTCTCCATTCATTTGAACTCTTTGTGAACACCATGTGCTTTTCTTTGCTGACCACTTAATGGTTACTTTTCATAGCATACATTTTATGCTACTGTACTGAATGTTTTTGCATTGCTAGTGAAGACACTGTATTGTGCAATGCTTTGCATTGATTAATGTCACCACCGATGGTCGTTGGCAGCCATCACAGATACTAGACTTAGGTTGCTGTAGTGGAACAATCTGAAAGTAGTCGCTTGTCCTGTTGCTTTTTTCTGTATTTGTCATTTAACTTAAACCTGTCACAAATTATGTACCTTTTTCAAACAATGTAATGATTACCATTGAAGTGCATTTGCTACATAAAAATGTTCAATGAAAAACTGAAATAAAGTGCCCATATTTCACACCAACGTCCACGTGGAATGCATATATGAATAAGAACTTTTTTTTTTTAATGAACTATTTCAAGAGCAAATCTTGTCAGTAATGCTGAAACTCCCACAGTGCAGAAAATAAATACAGTTAACAGCCCCAGCTCCCTTGAGTTAAGATCAAAGAAAAATCTCTAAGCGCTATAATGCTTTAACTAGGATATAGGTTAATCCTAATAAACAGATTAGCGGAAATATCAGGAGGCTGTGTGAATCAAATCTCCTGTCGGCAGCTTCTCTTCTTTGGCTGACATAAACCAAGGCAGGCTGCCTTTCTGGCTTTCCACTGCTCTTGATGTTATCTGAGAGCTTGACATAAATATGAAATATATCAACTGTTACACAATGATATCCAGAAGTAAAGACAGAAGACACAGAATTTAATTAAGACTATTGTTTAGTTTTACTAAATGTGAGTGGTGTGTCAGGACAGTTTTGCCGTGATAGATATCAAATAAATTGCTCTGTTGCTCATAATTGCCTGGAAATCACAAGTCAACAGCATCTGACAGTGAAGCATAATTCATATGTCATTGAGGTACACAAGTTTATAACCTATTTAAATCATCTACGTGAGACAGCGAGTGAACGTGATGTCAGCCTGTACAGTATCCTCGTGTCTGTTTCAACAGAGTTTTTTTCAGTCAGCCAGACAAGAAAAGTTACTGCCAATCAAACCTGCTTTTAGCGGTGGAGAGAAACTCACTGTCCAACCATACACACACGTGAAGTGGATACAGTGCTGCACACAAAGCTCGCCTCCATAGAAGTGCTTTTACACATTGAAGCTGCCCTGGACAAACATTAATAGACAGTTAGCATCAGGCAAGACTGGAACGCCATCTTCACTTCAACACAGAATCTTCATGAACAACACTTTGTACACCAGGTCCAGCGTGGTTAACTGCACAGACAGTCTTAGTGTTGCCATCACGTCCTTATGAGATAACCAATATGAGCCAGAGCCAGACGGTTTCCTGTTGTTTATATAGAGAGTCAATGCCGGCTAGTTGTGTTAGCTGTCGTACCAGTCCAGGAAGAGGAGGGAGAAAGAGCACATGACCAGGAAGAACAGGATCCATACGCGGAAGCCAGCGTTGTTTTTGATTGCCTGGTAAAATAAGTAAACAAAATGACATGCCACTCATCAGGGGTCTGTTCCAGATAGCAGGTTTAACAAACTCTAAGTCTAAAACCCTGAACTCTGAGCTGATGAACCCTGAGATGGAAAACAGCTGATCAGGTCAGTTCAATCAACTCTGAGTCTGTTCACTTTGAGTTAAGGTTGCGCGCAGGAAATGAAGAAAGCAATTATCAATGGAGCTCTGATGATTCCATTCACCATGGCAACAGGTCAACAAAAGGCAGAGCCTCCATTTTAATCCGATGGATGTATATTAATCACTGGAATTGTGGGCTCCTCCGCCAGAGCTTGGCAGGATTATAATAAATTTGACATTTATTTGTAGGCCTGGATGCAGACTGTGCAGGTTTATCTTTAAAAAAAAAAAAAAAAAAAAAAAAAAAAAGAGCCTGAGTCAGAGCGGGAAAAAGTGTCAATAAGTTAACACAATAAAGTTTTATTCAGTGTTGTCCATTATTAGAACATAAGCTACATTACATTCTAAATATATTTGTTCAGCTTAAGTCTGATGGGGACAAAACACAGGAGCCAGCAACTGAAGATGAAAAATATAGTTAAAGATTTAAACAATATAATAATCTAAGACAAAAAGACATGACTATAATAGAATCCTGTAATAATGTGGTTGATAATTTGCCCTTGAGTAGAGTTGAGTAGATTTTAAATAAAAAGCTTATAAGACACGTTCAGACTATAGACAGACTATTTAAAACAAACTCATTCACATTCTGCTGCGGCACCACAATCCTGCTCACTCAGAATCACTCACTCATAATCTCCAATATTAGAGGATAATGTTCCATCAGTGCGGCCAATTTACATTGTAAGTGATGGGGATAACTATTCATGGATCTTACGTGCCTAAAGCTTCATACTGATTTTTATATATCTTCAGTGTTACATGCAGAGGTTTGATTCTCAGCCTCAAGCTGTGTGATATTTGAATGTGAGGGCAAAAATTACTGTTCAAAGAAATGACTGACAGCGCATAAAAGTGGTAACATTAGACAGTCCGGAGTAACAAACTAATATCCAGCCAGGGTTCTGATTCTGACAGTAAACCTGCTAATTAATGCGCTTCAATATGTTCTTTGAATCAGTCTGAGTCAATGAGATAATGAAACAGTGAGAGGAGATGCAGTGAAGCTCAGGGTTTGTTGAAAAAACCTGCCAGCAAGCCTGTTAGGTTTACAGAGTCAGTAACCACAGTAACTGACCCAGAGTTTAAGTTATCTCTCTTTCCCTCATCTCATGATTAAGTTACTCAGAGTTTTCAGTAACCCAGCTTTCTGGAAAACAATATAGATTTGTGAACATAAGCCAAAGGGGAACACAATATTAAATATGAACAGCACATGCAGAATAGATCAGTGAATGTTACCTCTCGTATATCCTCATTGCCTTCTTTGACATTTTCTGTGGCGCCAACAACCAGCTGATGAATACTGTCTATCTCCGTTTCCTGTCACGAAAAGAGAGACAGATGATGAGTTTGTGTACAACTTCTTTTCAAAATGAAGTGTCACAGTAAATAAAATGGGAGGAACTCAGCTCACTTGTTGCAGGACTTTCTCAGCAAAGATCTCCTGCAGTCGAGAGATCTCCACCACCTTCCCCTCGATTTGCCTGATGTGCACAAAAGTAACACATTAAAATATGCCATGAAAATAGGGTGCCTTGAATATTTAAGGGGACAGTTAACCCCAAATAGAAAATACATATTTTTTCTCTTACCTGTAGTGCTATTTATCAAACTAGATTGTTTTGGTGTGAGGTGCAGAGTGTTGGAGATATTGGCTGTAGAGATGTCTGCCTTTTCTCAAAAGCAGATGGCATTCGGCTCAAAGAGCCAAAAAATACATTTGAAAAACTCAACAGCAATGTCTTTTTTTGTGAGCAGTTTCATGTAGGAACTATTTTCTTTTGACTTAACTTAACAAAGCTTCCCTCTGTGCAGTAATACGGTTGGTGGGTGTTGTTGGTAGAAAGAAAATAGTTCCTACATGAAACTTCTCACAACAAGGTCTGTGGATTATCTTGAGTAGCCAGGTCATGATTTCTGGAAAGAGCCTTTTTTGTTGAGTTTTTCAAATGTATTTTTTTGGCATTTCGAACACCACAAGCTCAGTGCCATTTAGTTCCTTTATATTTGAGAGAAGGCAGACATTCCTACGGCCGATATCACCAGCACTCAGCAACTTTCACAAATATGTATTTTTGATTTTGGGATGCAACATCCCTTTATGCCCCTCTAGACAAAATCAGTGTTACAGGGGCAGGTCATTTTCACCTCAGGACTGCTTCTGTTCCATCTGAAACAAACATGTCGCTGATTTTCTCTGGCTACCAGGGTAAAAAAACCCATCTCTAAACACCTATGTCCTTGGGTCATTTTAATCCCGTCTGGATGGAGATCTGGTTTTCCACATAACTGTTGTCTTGCTCACCTGTTATTTCAGTCACTAGGGCGGTGTAATTTAGTGGGAGGGGGAGTAACATTGTGTGACACATTCACAGTAGAGCGTCACTGGCTTACCACAGTTCCCCAGTAAATTATTTTTCTTCAGTGTTCACATTACTGAAGTGTAAACAAAATGAAATTACAGACATCCTCTGCTAATAGTTGCTGTTCAGAATATACATAATAAAAAGGGACAGTAACATGTGTGCTGAGCGTGACTCACTTCACTTCATCCACCAGGTTGTTCATCTCACTCACCAACCTCTGGTTCTCCTGTTCAAACTGGACATAACACACAATAATAAAACATCATCAATGATGCTATGCAGATGTCAGACGCTAATTCTGTGTAACTAGAAGTTGGGATATGCTGTATTGTCTGAGCCACAAACCCTCAAAGAGGTCTATCTAGCAAAAAGGCTGAATTAACTTAACTGTGTACTTTTGTGAAAATATACATACTTGACTGACTGAGAGTATTTTTTATACTGACAAATAACTCAGAAATCCAAATGAGTCTGTTAATTGCACCCCTAAGAGTAATTTCCCTAAAAACCTCTTCAGTAAAGCAATGAGTGTGTGCTTCACTGAGCCCCTGTGCATTCAGATGTCATCTATGTATAGCTGCACTTTCATGAGACACGCATGAATCATACAAATCTACATACTGTATAACATGAATAATGAATAATGAAGTATGAGGTGCCCACCATCTGGATCTCCTCTGGAGAGAGCTCATCCTCCACCCTGCCCTCCTCCCACAGGTTGATGTGGTTGTTCGGGACCTCTGACACACTCTTCTCTGCAGGAAGGAAAAGTAAAAACTCTTCATCTATCTGCAAACCTCACAAATCTACACATATCTTCAATATCACGGACATGTCTATTTGTCCCTCGGTGCTCGGCTTGTGGCGCTCAAAGCTCCAAAAAATACATTTGAAAAACTCAACAGCAATGTCTATTTCCAGAAATTATGACCTGATTACTCGAGAAAATCCAGAGACATTGTTGTGAGCAGTTCCATATAGGAACTACTTTCTTTCTACCAAACTACACCTGCCAACTGTATCAGCGCGCAGAAGGAGGCGTGCATCTACTGCTAGCTCACCTAGCACCACTCAGCTAGCTAATGTTACAGCTCATCTCAGAAGGATGCCACTAATGGTTACTTCTCGTGCTGTCATGAGATCAAGCCTTTCATCCATAAATAGATGTTCAAAATAAAAAAGTGTAATGCTAATACTGTCTGTAATGTTGGAATTAAATTGACAACACGCTTGCAACTGTTGTCTCCTGAACAAACGTGATTTTTGGGTGAAGATACGGTCCTGAGAACTTAAAGTGATTTATGTTAAGATTTGTCACAGTAAACAGTGAAGTGCATCCCTACATTTTTACAGTTCCCTTCCTACCTGGTGGTTTGGATTTTATGAACCTGCAGAAATACAAGTTAATGGTTGTGATTTAATCAAAGTACCCATGATGAATCATCAGGCATAATTAGGCTGCGGCACGGCGCTTTTTAAATTAGAGGCTGCAGATGAAACACAAAGATCGGTCCTGCTGCCTTCAGATGGCTGTAGAAATGTAAACGATGAAGCATTTTATACAATGTAAAGAGAGATAATGTACATGTAATAATCATGCTTTCATCAGACGTTTTTGCTATAGTCCCTTTAAAACTGTATTCTTGACCAAATGTATCTACTTTACTTTTAAGAATGTTTAACCCAAGTGTTGCTCTACATTTCTGTCACTAGTCCCATATATTCTTGATCTGCAGTAAATGCAAGGAGAAGTGCATTTACTGGGCACAGAAACAGCTAAATACACAAAAATACCAAGCCAACAGAGAACATGGCATGGTCAGTAAAGCATGAACATGTAGTAGCAGGGTTGGTCGTACCAGTCTTTGTTCTGCCACAGAAATAGAGTCCAGTGTCTCAGTGGACTCACTAACTTACCAGAACTCTCCTCCTTGACAGTCTTCTCCTCCGTGGGCTCCACCTCTGGTGTTTTCTCCACCTTACTGTGGTGCTCCGGTGCCAGTCTTGACCTGAAACCACAGAGCACAGGGTCATGGAAATCAGGAGCAATTTTCTAAAGTATTATAAAGTAATTAATGAATGATGTGAATGAGGTATACATAGAGGCTGATTTTTGCAGTTACTCACAGCCTCTTCTTGTCCACCATCCTCTTGACTCTGATTGCTCTCTGCTCAGAGTACAGCTTACACACTCCTTAAAACAATCAAGATACACACAATGTTACCATGCAGTCCTGTTTGCTAAAATATTGGCTCAGTGATTTCAGGTATTCAGTATGTGTACATCTGCTCATGTTGAAACCAATGCTACCAGCCCTCTGGGCTCATACACACTACTCACCAAGACAGTGAATGTCCTAAAGGCAAACAAATGGATGCATACAAAACTGTCCATAGAAAACAAGGTGGTTTACAATGAGCTGCATGAGCTCACCTTTCAGATATGTTTCAATGAGGTCCAGTACTGCCCCTCTGTGCTCCTTCACCTGGGCTGATGTCACCTGCTTCTCTGCTATAGTGAGAAAAATACCACATCCACTTATTTAAGAAAAACTCTATTTCTATTTCCACTGACAGCATAATCTTTAAAGGGCCAGTGTGTAATATTTGGCATGGTTTATTGTCAAATCTGAATCTGAATCTGAATATTCTACCCATTAATATGTTTATACAAGTGTATGATCGCTATAAAATAAAATTCGTTTGGTTTTCGTAGCCTTATAATTATACTTTTATATATATATATAGCAAGGGCCTTGCTTTAGAGAAGTCGCCATCTTGCGTCGCCATGTATGTAAGGCAGCCCGAGCGGACCACCCAGCTAGCCAGAGAACGCGAAACGCTAGCGCTTATCCGCTACAAGAAACTCTTCAAAATCACGTTCAAAGTCGTCCGTTGCAGCTACTATAGTCCGGAGATATTGCTAGGCTAAATAAACAGCTGAGCTCTGTTTACAGGCTACGCTGTCAGTCAGTGTGCGGGCTGGAGGTTGGTGGAGCAGAAAGGGGAGAGGGATCCCCACTCGGTATGGTAAACGAGTATGTGTGTAAAGTTATGAAGTGTGTCTGTTACGCTAGAAGAGTCAGAGTCAGAGTTTGGGACGGAGTCTTTTACCCCCTGGAGTGTTACCAGAGTTTTTGGAGTGCTCAAATAAACAGGCCTTTTTCCCGAACGCTCCTCTGGTCTCCTGCTCGTGAGGGATTCATTACAATATCGTAACATGGCTTAGATTTCTAAATAAACATTCACCTCGTCGCTAGATAGACCTACTCCTGAAAAACTCATGCGCAAGGCTTTTTGTCCCTATGAGGCCGCCGTCATTTACCCGACGGGAGGGGTGAGTGAGTGAGCCCTGCAATCTAGAATTTGACCACTGATGTCACTGTTTTCAACCCATTTTACACACTGGCCCTTTAATGTATGCTGCATAATGCAAGACAAAATTTGAATCACCCAAGAGCATGTTTTTTATGTTTACAATAGTATTTGTGGACTAGTTCATGTGCTGCACAGTAAAACAAGCACACACCTTCATTGCGTAGCTGCTTGATGGCCTCAGAGCAGGTCCTCATGAAGATCTGAGCATCCTGGTCTATCTGGTCTCGTTCATTGTCCGTCATCCGGGTAAGATCTGATGAGATGAGACTGTAAAACACACAACAACAATCATAGTGAGTTTAAATACTTTGTAGGCATCTATCAAAAGATGAACATTTGATTGATATCCAAACAAAGACTCGTTAGAGCTCAGCATTATTACAAGTGGGCTACATACTGACAGATGCCCTCCTTCTCCCTAATATTCATGTCTACCTTCAACCACTTTCTGAACTCTACATGTATCCCTATTCAGCATTTTGTCGGGCAGAGACCTGTCCCATTGTGCCCTGGGCACAAGATGGCAGGGTCTCTGGACGATCACAGTTCAATCACTTAAAGAAACTGAAAGATTCAAAATTTCAAGATCTTTATTGGAGGATGTCTAAATTCCTGAAATGCATCTTTAGCAGAGAGGAGGCTTGCTGGAGGAGCTTTGAGCGAGGATGTGCACAGGTGCATCTTTTGCGAGAGTCTTTTCGGCACCCATGATGGATATAACAGGCCTGACACACAGCTGCCACATTGTGAATTGAATTAAAATTAAATATAGGCTGTCATAAACACTTTCGTGCTCCTCTGACAGAGATCATAAAACACAATGGTAGGCTATAACAAAACAATGGACAGCTGATGCAGCTGTGCCAGACATCTTTTTTAATTAACGTTGCTTGAAATGATGGCTCATCTCCTCTCTCAAGCAAAGAAGAGACACAAAGCTTGCGTCTCTTCTTTGCCTCCTCCGCTTGCATCTCAGGTGGGAAGGACTAAGATGTGAGGAGAGGAGGTGAGGAAAGGAATCAAGGATGTACAAAGGGCACAACTGTGACTCAAATATAGGACCCTCTAGTTGTCAGGCGGTGGTGTGTAGCTGAGACTTACTGTCTCCCTCTAGTGGACTTCTGAGACACAATGACACTCCTGAGATAAGTACATACATGCTCAGTATACATAATAAGACATGTAAAAGGCTGGTGATGATTCTATTCTGGTGTTAAAGTGGATTTTGATGGGTTAGATTGAATTTTGAATAAGCCTGATTGGTTTAATCAGATTCTTGCGAAAGGCTTTAACATGTAACTTGAAATTAATATATAATAAAACTACAGCTGTAATGATGAGTCATTTGACAAAAACATTAATCAGCACTATGTCATTAATTCATCAATCTTCGTCATTGTTAAAGCAAAAATGCCAAACTGCATGTCTTTGGATTGTGGGACGAAGCCGGAGTATTGGTAGAAATCCCACGCTGACACAGGGAGAACATACAAACTCCGCACAGAGGGGCCCTCCCACTCGAGATTTGAACCCCCAACCCTGGATGTGAACCAGGAACCCTCTAACTGTGAGGCCACAATGCTGGCCACTGCACCACCATGCAGTAGGTGATTTGTGCGTTTGTGATAGATGTTGAGATGAGGCATAGGCTGCTGGATTTGAACTGTAACTCACTCACATGAGTCACAAGGCTTACTAGAATGCACATATCTGATTGGCTGAGTAGCATCCCATGAGATGATTTAACACATGCAATCGGTCTGTAAGGTTTTGGGCCACGAAACCAGCGCTACAAATGCTGCCACGCCACATTAAATGAAAAACGCTTCGTCAATCTGTAATAATTCTTAATAATTCCTTAATCACAGGTCAGGGCCTGCGTCTGGGTCCGCACCTGGGGGATGGAGAGGGATGGCAGGTTAACAAAGGGATCACATTTGGTAATTTTGCTGACAAGGGGGATGGGGTTTCCTCTTGTTCCCCCTCTAACTGCCTACTGATTATATTCTAATCGACTCAAGGGCAGCACCAAAAAAGCTTTAACTTTAATCCTAGGCATTGGTCTGAAACAATGATTAGTTACACATACTTTATAAACATTTGGAAGTGAATTCATTATCAACCACAGTCCATAATTATTCTGTCAGCCAAAATCAAAGTGTGGAGGAAAAAGGAAGCTGATAAGATAATTGGAATGACGAGGCTGACGGTAGACGAGGCTTGCGCACATACCCCTGATGGCTTCTTGATGGATTTTCCCACCACTAAATACTGCTGCACTCCACCCATTGACATCGCTAATGTTCAGTTAATGTATTCTGCTGAGGCTTTATCAACAAACCTAACAAAACATAGGCTACTCCACACACCCACACCTACAGAACACAGAGGGGGCCTTGAAGGGAGGAAGGCCTGGATTAGTCCCAGGGCGTGATTTGTTCTTCACTTGGTTGCAGCTCAATTATTCCAGACAATTAGACTGGAGCCTGCCGCTACAGACCACCCTACTCGCTGCTGACCTTGTGCCAGCAGACAGACCCTGCAGCACATACACACTGACTGGAGACATATTTGACAGTACCTTTGAGTAGCCCTGACTCTTGACCTCCTCTAAATATTGTCAGAATCAAAGCGTTCGTCTCTTCTCCGGCCTCCCCTGCAGCCTTGAAGGGTTTTACCGCTGCTGTTGTTGATTGTAGTGGATTACTGTGACTGTCTGGTGAGGCTTACCTTCCAGCGCTCACATAATCTTTCCTGTGTTGTAGCAGAAAGTCTTTGAGCTTGGTGATGTTCGTGATCTGCCAAGATAAAGTGAGAAGAAGCATTACTTGATTACCTTCATGTCAATGAGTCTCTTTAAATGCTACGCCTCAGTTGCTCAAATACGTTAACCGTGTCAACACAGCTTAAGAAAGAGTTTTTTGATGTATACCAGGAAACTATTTTCTCCAGACTACATTTAGACAGAGCCAGAGCAAATGTATAATTTTGCATTTATTGAATGTGACAGGCGACCAATGCCTGTCTATCTCTGTGAATTCTCAATATTTGCTTTTGACAAATCATCAAGTCTGGGACATACAAAAATCAAACCTGCAATTTCCTCGTCAAACAGTCCTCGTAAATATAACCATGAGCAGCTGCATACAGAGCACTGACAGAGCCATCCCTAATAAGCTTTAAATTCATGATGTGTTACTATTTATCACCGAGAAAATGTCCAAGTGTATGTGTGCACAGGCAAACCAGAGGAAACTTGGTTCAATCCAATATTTGCTCCTGTAATTCGGTCAAATATTAAAAAAGACCAAATTGCTTCCCTGTCTACAGAGCTCTGCTGGCAGGGTACAAGTGGGTGTGAATGCGCACACAGCGGGCTCTGTTAGATCCCGAAGAAGACAGAACTCGGACAGGCTAAGGATTGAAAAATGACACAATGACTTTGACTGTGACAGCGACCCCAGAGCGTGGGAGATTATTTTCATAGCATAACGACGCTGTCTTCAGCCTTCAGCCTTTTTTCACTCTAACAACCTCAATTATCAAATTGCCTTGGCTGTAAGGGGTAACCTGGCACCAGCAGTCTAATAATGTCTCTAAACATTCATTCTGAGCGTCACAGTGGCCTGAAGCAGTGTTTTATTCAAGCTGACGTTTTAAAAAATGACAAGTTTTTCGATGCAGAAAGAAGGTGTCAAGATAAACAGTGCTGGGCAATTTGTTAGAAACCTAGAAGTCCTTCTTTGCTTTAGAAGGTAATTCAGTGACGTATGACACTGCTGTGGGGCAAATAACTCAGGCGAGGGCTGTTGAGGCAAGCCGACCCTTGTAATAATAGAATTATTTGAGGTCAAGAGTTAATTGTTGTTCAGAGCAGTTAAAGGGGGGTTCAGGGAGAAGAGAACCTTTCTTATGGTTCAAAGTCTTTTAAAACATTGTCCGCTGTGTAGTGTCTCAGTGAATGAGGGGACTTTGAAGTGTGCTGCTGCGGGATTGATAGGATTTTCCAAAAATACAGCCATAAAACCTCCAATGAATAAGCTGCCTTTTATAAAGTCCTGGGTCATCCTGTTGGTTGGAAAGTATAGGCTATCTTTTCTTTTTCTTTCTTTCTTTTTTTTTTTTTAAGCAAAGCTAGTAATAGGGTGACGGTATATGATCTGAAGTCCTCTGATTTCTGTTTATTGGTGGAATAGTACTGACCAACCACATTAGCAGGGATAGCAGGCAAACAGTACGTGTGGAGAGCTGTAATGCATTCTTTATTTATTTTTAAAAATGTTCTGTATTCATATGTAAATATCTGCTTAAAGAGACTAGTCAAAACGAACAACGCATGGAAGAAAAAATCAGCGAAGATATCTGCTGGCTACTCTGGATTAGTCCGAAATATTGGCCCTTGGCCCCAGAGCCTTATTATCATCAGATGATAGCTGGTGGGTTCCGAGATTGGCAAATACATCATTTTTCAATCAACACTGCAATATCAACTTGCACGATTGGGAAACGTTGGGAAACACAGTGATATTGCTCCCAGGGATTTTTTAAGTTAATTAAAAGAGGTTATCAGTGGAAAACTACAATTTAAAATGTGACTATCTTTCCATTGTTATATAAAGGGGCCTGTGTTCAGTTCAGTGTTAAATTTGCTGAATAAAACAATGTTGGAACATAAATTTTCTTTCATTTTTTTAGTTAGACAAACAGTTATTCAATTTAGCAGTACACTGAAAATAGCAGGAAGACAGAACTAATAAAATGATTTAATGTGTTTATTTTTTGCAAATATTATCATTATGATATATTTAACAACGTTATCACATATTTTTCTCATATTGTACAGCCCTAATTAGCAATAATGCAATTACATGATGCATTCAGCCATTCCGACACGTCTCTTACCGTAGAGAAAATAACAGTTGTTGTAGGGTTTTTCATTCAAAATTGTTGTTTGTTGTGACATCTAAGTAAGTACTTAATTTCAAGTCTTTGATGATCACTTTGACTGGTGTTTTATCTACCTCACTCCCTAGATGAAACACTCAAGTCTAATGTGACGTACTTACTCTGGTCTAGAGCGGAAACAACTACTCAACTAATCAGTTATTCAATTTACCAAATATTCATGGGTAACTATACTGATAACAAGTAATTATTTAAAGAAAAAACTCTCTGGCTTCTTTTCAAAAGTGAGTATTTTGTGGTTTTCTTAGTCTTCTACAATCGCGAACTAAATATTTTGGCCTGTGCATCGGAGAAAACAAGATTTTTTTATGACACACACTTGTGATGGCGTGACGTTTTTGTTATTTGCTAAGATTCTATAAACAATCAGTGGATTAAATGAGACAATAATCTGTACATTAATGGATGATGCTTCTTTAATTTTGACATTCTGTTTCGTTTGTTGTATGCAAGACTAAAAGATGGCTATGAAATAACTTTGTCTTGAAGTCCCATGTTGGATGGGCCTATAAAGGCATGACACTGAAATAAAAATTAAAGAATGAATGACAATGAAAATAACCATTAACTACTGCCCTATTGTCATCTTGAAAAACTCTGGTTAATATTTTTATTTGATCTTTAAAGGAGACAAAATTTGTCCAGACACTAAAGATGTGGCACTAAAGATGTGGCAGACTGGTGATCACCATAACGTAATCTCATTAAGCCTCTGCCTTCCCCATCTCAAATAAAACCCACTCTGGTGGTAAAATGGTTATTTATAGCCCCGAAAACCGCCATGGAAGAACATTTTTGAGTTTCAGTAATTCTCAGTTTTTGAGGCTACCATAGGCTGCCACAAAGTGGAGAATATAACCTCTTACAAGGCATGACTAATTTATCTTTTTACCATAAACTATATTTTCTGCTTGCAATTAGCACTTGGCTTCAGACTTTTATTTATGTACAAACTATATCAGCCTGCAGAACTCTGTCGATGGTGCTGCACCTCTTTGACCAGCAGGCAGTGCTAAATCCACAGAATTGAAACATGCCGAATCAGACGACAAATGAATGGGAGGTGTGTGTGTGTGTGTGTGTTGTGGGGGTGCCGGGGAGTGTCAAGAGTGCTGCTCTGGGGGTTGAGCTGTCTCCCGTGTGTATACATTGGAGCTCGGATTCCCAGCACAACCTCAAGGGTTTGCAGGGGGTCAGGGGGATCAATTGCTCTTGTAACTTAAGACCCTAAAGAGCAAGTAATTCCTCAACAATGAGGAAGGGGGTGGCCTTGTGCATGTGGCTCACCGTATATGTGTGTATGTAGCTATATGTGAGTTTGTGTGTATGCATATGTGTAACTGCAATAGGTGTGTGCGAGGCGGAGCTCGCAGCGAAGGCAGAAGGAGACAGTCTGCCGGGCTACATCTAATCTCGTCATCATCAAAGACCCCCACTTTACCTCCTCACTTTCTCCTTCCCCCTGTTTCCCTCCAGCCCAGATTGAGCCCAAACAAACCATCAGGGGGGATTATTATGAGGAAGAAAAGAGAAAAGGCTTAGCTAGCAGATTTCTAAAGAGCTTGGATGGCTCTTTGTTTTGTTAAATCCAGGTAACTGACAGAATTTGATGATGACTGCCCTGCTTTGGTTTAAGTCCCTGTGTGTCCTGACCGAGGGCTATCCACGCTGACGCCAAGCTATGTTGTGTTTAGGTATGAGGGCCTGATACAGAGAGGATGCTTCACTGGAGAAGACTCTGCCGCATGCTGATTTTATTATCATGTTTATGTCTGACTCTAATGGGTTCAGTTTTGTCTTCTTATGTCTATTCGCAGTAAGAACGCTTTAGTCAGCTCTATAAACAAACAAAAAAAGTGCCATCAAAGAAAACTATTTATGAACAACGTCTTTGACCTTTTTTGATACGTCCTAAACTTGTGTTACAGTTTTGATTTTTACTGGATAATTGAAAGCTGAGTAAGCAGCGCCTGTATACAGGGTCGGTTTGTTCATTTTTGATCATGCAGGTCAGATCATGCACAGATACAAAATGTCAAGTTAAAACAAACACTGAGGCACATCACTGGAGACAGTGTATGCTGTAAAGAGACGCTGACAGAACAATGTAACCGCCATTGTGTTGTAAGACAGTGTCACATCACCAGAGGCCCTACGATACAATTTTATCCTGATACTTAAGTCATGATACATTATCATTGCAAATATATATTTTGCAATATGTTGAGTAAACTGTGATATACTGAAATGTATTATCTTTTTTCAACTGCAAATTATTTCCCAAAAGCAAAACTATGTCAATATGATAAAGTTTTCAGTGTTCAGCTCACTTCAATCATTTCTATAGCAGCAAAATCTATCTTGTGACCTAAAAAAGGAATTGATTGTATTCTTATAATAGAATACCAAAAGATTAACTCTTATTTGCAATATTATTAATTTATATTTTAAAAAATCAATACTTGGCATCCATGTATAGATACAATATTGCCATGCAAAATGTCATGACACTATGTTGTAGCGATTTTTCCCCCCACACCTACTAATTGAAAGTATTTAAGAAGCAAGAGGTTGCTGAGATTGACTGTAGATGACATCACCATATGACAGCTCTTTTAGTCAATGGAAAACATGCTGCTGATTTTGAAACAACTAAATCACGTTTCAACAATCAATTTAATAAGAAATAGATGTATCAGCTGCGGCTGTAACATTTAACTCACAAATAACCTGGACATCACAGTAGACAAAATAAATGAATATAAACAGAGATGTGTGGCATGTGTGTCATCAAGTGACATGTTGCATTCAAACAGACAGAGCCAGTATGATG